TCGATAACGCTTTGATGTCTCCTGCCACAAGTAATGCCAACCCAATTACAGAACGAGGTTCCTTGTGACCAATTTTGAGCCAAGATATTATTTGGATCAGAAGTTATTTGAGATTTGAAGGCTAGAAGAGCATGCTCATCTGTGGAGCTTTTTCGAGACGCAACAATGTTGCTATGCAAGCAAAGCATTGCCAGCAAAGTAAAGATCACATTCTGTCCCATGGATAATTTGAAATGTATAAAGAAAACTGGGAGGGGGCTTGTAATGAGGAGTTTGATATAAGTGTGTGTATATATAGATAAGAAAAGCTTCCTACAAGATAAGTGATGGGCTTCTATCTCAAGTGAGTAGTGCTCATCACCCCGTTATGGACTCCACTTTTCCCCAAAAAAAAAAAAAAACAAACAAACAAACTTTGCTTGACTACCAAGCTGGAGAAATTATTCCATTGGAGGCAGAGATTTTTCTTTATCTTTTATTGGGGAAACTGTGCAAGTTTTTCCACAAATGAAAGTCACATTATTCTAATAATCCAAAAGAAATAATTAATATTTAAATACTTCATTGTCCACCAATACCCCATATTTTCTAGTAGAGCGTGGAGATTTTCTTAAGAAAATAAAAGTAGCTTGAAGTGTGCAAAATTTTAAACTTAAATCCTAAGCAGTTTGATCTTATGCAATATAGCTTGACTTTCCGTCTATAGAAGGATGGTTTTCTTTTTCTTTTTCTTTTTCGACAGCCAGAAGAAAGGTTTTAATGGTTACTAAAAACAATTTATTTAAATTCTTCTTGAGTAGAATGATGGGCTCTTAGGAATAGATGTGTGCGTGAATGGAGCTTCTTGGTTCATGAACGATGAAACGAAGCATATGTTTTATCTTTGGTTATGAGTCTAGTATTAGACTCGTTAGTTTTCTCATGTCATTTAGTACAGTTTTATTCGAACTTTTTGCTTTTTTTCCTCTTAGTATAAATAAAGTATCCTTGCGGATGGTGGCTCAATTCAAAAAATACATCAATTTTGTCTCCTTGATCACCCAATTGTCTAACGAAAGACTTTCGATTTGGCTACATTACTATAACAATATTAAAAAAATAATAATAATATTGAAAGAGAAAACATTAAAACGACAAAAATGCAATAAAGCACATTTTGGCTGAGTAAATGTTTATCAAGTCACTTAGTAAAATTATCAACCACAAACACTGATTATTGGGTTTATTTATTATATTTCTTGTAATTGGTCCAAAATCATTTGCAATTAAAAAAAAAAAAAAGAGGAAATGTGATAAGTGGTTAGTATTGTCTGACTAAGCAAATTTTAGAGGTAAATGGAGGAATTTGTAGAAAAACCTCGCCGAATATGAAGCCATGGGCTTCTTATTTACTTTGCTTGGATATTCTGTCATGTACGACTCTACTTATAAGGTTAATTATATTTTAATCACTGAACTTAGTTGATGATCTCAACTAGGTCACTCTTCTTTAATTTGTTTCCATCAAATCATTGAACGTCAATTTACTTTCAGGGTTAATCAATATGTTAGCTACAAGACTAGAAAAATCACACCA